TATATGCATACATTTTGAAAAGGGTAAATCAAGCTAATTAACATATGCATTACCTAACATACTCGTCTTTTTTGTGAAGAAAGCACTTAAAATCTACTCTCTTAACAATTTTTAAGTGCACAATATGTTGTTATTAATGATAGTCATGGTCGTGTACAATTGATCTCTTGAACATTTTCCTTTTGTCTAACTGTCGCCTGTGACCAACATCTCCCCTAATCTCCTCCACCTCGCAGTCTCTGATAAACAACAACTTACCCTTTGCTTCTTTGAGAAGTGAAATAATTTTTAGAAGAAAATATTCTTTTAAATTGCATATACTGTTAGATTTCTATTCATAAATTTATAGGCAAAAAAATCATATGTACCTTAATATACAAAATATGTTCAAACACAGATACATATTGCTGAATGGTATTTTGTTATCACGCATAAATATTTATGGTAAAGTAAACATATAGAATGCTTAGTAATTATAAATTGACATTTATTAAGATTTTTGAAGCTAGTGAATTTTTTTTTTATTTTTGAGACTGAATCTCAGCCTGTCACCCAGGCTGGAGTGCAGTGGCATGATCTTGGCTCACTGTAGCCTCCACCTCCCGGATTCAAGCATTCTCCTGCCTCTGCCTCCTGAGTAGCTGGGGCTACAGGCAGGTGCTGCCACACCCGGCTAATTTTTGTACTTTTAGTAGAGATGAGATTTCACCTTATTGGCCAGGATGGTCTTGATCCCCTCCCCTTGTGAACCACCTGCCTCAGCTTCTCAAAATTCCACCTGGGATTACAGATGTGAGCCACTGCGCCTTAATGAGTAGACTTTGTTCCACTTTTTAACAATAACTACTTTATTTCCCGTTATCAGTTTTGGTACTTTAAATCAGCATTTAAGATTTGAAAAGTTGTCCTTAGAAGCACTCAATGTATTTTACACCAGTGAATTTAGGTGTTCTCACACTAGAGAAAAGAGCAAATTAGAATATATTAATCTATCTTTAAGCACACATTTATTTGTTTTCAAGTGTTTGCTGCCAGAAATTGTACACGTGAAAAGTCATACAGTATGTGCTTTGCATGTTTTTCTTTTTTTTAATCCGTAATGACTCTGCTTCTAGCTGTGAGTTTGAAAAAATCTGTCAATCTTCCACTAAATCCTGAAATTATTTCATGGTGCAAACTTAGAATCAGATTGAAGCCCTCACATAAAATATGTTTTTCCATCCATCAAAAACTAGCTCCTCTGACATATACAGAAGCAGATTCAAAGATATAAACCTGTAGGTAAGATTGTTAGCCTCTAGTAGAGACTGTTCCTTGGAACTTTATTTTTCACAAAACATCCATGTTATCGCCTCAGTCTTGGCATTATCAGTCCTCTTGACATACAGCCACATGTTTTCCTGAAAATCTGATCCTTGTAATGACAACCACATGAGATCTTAGGCCACTGTTATGTGAGGAGATAAAACAAGCCTTCAGCACATATGCCAAATAGTCAAGAATTGTCGGTTTTTCTTAAGAAATTCTTTTAAATTAACCAAGTTGGAATTATGTACTCATAAGAGAATACAGTAAAGAGAAAAACATAAATACCTTGCAATTTCCTTAGGACCTGTGATCATGTTGTGGTAGTGATTGTGATTTTAGAACGTGTTAATTCTCTAGCTTTTCTCCTTTTAAAATTGTCATAGTATATTAACTGAGTCCCATTATATGACTCAATAGTTATATTTTTAGTGACATTATTTGAAGTAAAATAAGTGTACTGAAGTTGTTTTCTTAAGACTGGGTAATATCCAATTTTTTAAACATTTTTTCACAAAATGTTTAAAGGAATTATACTAAATTTAAAACAAGCATTAAAAAAGAGAAAAACAGGACCTTGAGAGGAAGTGATCTGGATTCTAAGTTTCATTTACTTAACCACGTGACTTTGGATACATCACTATTATCTTTTGAACTTCCACCTATCTCATCTGTAAAGTGGGAATAAGAATATCTCTTCTACATATTGCAAAGCTGAATTGAAACTATCAAATTGGATAGTACATTTAACAGTTTTAAAATGTGATGATCAAAAATCACAAAGAAGTACTAGTAAAGGTTAAAGAAATATACTTGTTGAGATACACATTATATTTAAGCTCATAGGTCAGAAAATGTATTCTTAAAACTTCTGTGACACCATCTAGTAAACAATGTATGTGGCCAGGCAATGCAGATGCCAGCCACTATTCCACTATTTACACGTTTTATTTATCATCTCATTTAATCTTTACAACTGCTCTGTGAGATTACCAATTTCATAAAACTGTAATCCTCAGCTTCCTAAATGAAAGAGTGCAGATAGGTCGATCTGATTCCAACATTGAGGACCTTATATTAGTCGATTCTTATAGTATTGTCAATATTTATTATGTTGACATGATAATGTGGAGATTCAGATCATTCTTACACATTCAGGAACCAGAAGCTTAGTAGTGGAGGCAAACCATGCAAATGGTTTTAACACAAAATAGTATGTATGACGAGTTCCTAAAGTGTGTGGCAAGCAAATTTTAGAGCAAAGTGAATTAATTTGTAGGATTAGTAAACAAGTGAGAGTATAGTTGTTTTGTTTGTTTTTTTTGATACTCATTTTCAGTAATGGTATATAGGAGATAGAGATTTAAAAAATAGCACCTTAGAAACTTCTAAGTGAAAGGATGCCCTGAAAATTGTGTCAAAACAACAAACTGAACCAGGACTCTCCTGGCAAACCACGATGGAAAGTCACCAAAATAATTAGAGCATTTTGATTTTGAGAAGAAAATAAAATATTAAGTAAATAACATACCCTTAGGTATATGCTTTTTATATTATAAAGATATGAATTGTTTCAGTTGTAAATGTTGCCTTGTGCAAGCATATGTCACAAAGAAATGTGCAGTTAGCATTATAGCAATTACTTTCTGCCTACAACCAATATAAAACAAATTTAGACAGCTGTGAAATCCACTGTCTTACAATGCGTTGGATTTAGTCTTACTGAATTAGGACGCTACTAGTCAATTAAGTATAATATCATTTTGCAAGTTATTCATTTTAGTTCTTATTTCAATTTTAATGATAGATATTTAGAGTTCAAAGATGTTGGGGTAAGTCGCTTTTTCAACTATCTCCTCCAATATATTGGAATTATATATTTATAATTACAAAAGGTCCTTGATATATCTGGAGCTTTGAAACTGCAAGTTAGGTGACTCTTTTCTTTCTTTCTTCCTTTTTTCCTTCCTCCTGGCTCCCCTCCTTTTAGTAAAATATTCTATATCATGAAGTAAGTTACATGATTTCAACGCTATGATTTTTTTCAAGTTATCTTAAAAATTGAACTTATCAGTAAATATACTTTTTGAAAATAATTATTCTAATATTTCCTGTGCTTGTTTCATGATTGATAATTTGCATAATAGTACAGTTACTCAATATTTGGAACTCTACCTTGCCCACAAAATGGTACAAGTTCTTTCCTTGAACTGATCTACATGTTGTGATTGATTTCCATTTACCCAGCTGATAGACTACCCCTCTGTCTCTCTATTTGCATTTACTCACTATCTGCAGGTTTCATTGTCACCTTTCAATTTCCCTCAAATGAACACTTTGTATGTAAAACACTTCCCCACTCCTGTGTGCTAGAATTTTTCTCTTCAGAGCAGAACTAGCTTAGTTTCATGGATGATGATTGGCCAAAGTGGTATTTGAACATAATGGTAGTTACTGGATGGAGGGTTAGACTGAGCTAGAAGTCTGTCATATGCAGGTAACTTCAGATTCTAAAAATGAAAAAAATGCTTTATTTTTCATTTGTTTGCTTTACCTTCAACTATCCCACGTTTTTCAAATATTAATTATGAAGTTAGTTCATTCCATAGAAAACATTATGGAGATTTCTCAAAGAACTGAAAATAGAACTACCATTTGAGCCAGAAATCCCATTACTAAGCATCTACCCAAATAAAAGAAAGCCATTCTACCAAAAGTCAACTTCACTCATATGTTTATCACAGTACTGTTCACAAGAGCAAAATCATGGGATCAATCTAGGTGTCTATCAAGGGTGGACTGGATAGAGAAAATGTGATGCATATACACCGTAGAAACCTACAAAACCATAAAAAGAATTAAATCACGTCCTTTGCAGCAATATGGATACAGGTGGAGGCTATTATCCTAAGTCAATTAATGCAGAAACAGAAAATCTGATACCATATATTCTCAATTTCGAGTGGAAGCTAACCAGTGGGTACACATGGATGTAAAGATGAAAACAATAGAAGCTGGGAACTCCAAAAGTGAGCAGGGAAGGAGAAGGGCAAGGGCTGAAAACCTACCTGTTGGGTTCTATGTTCATTATTTGGGGAATGGGTTCAACAGAAGCCCAAACTACAGCATTATGCAGTGTATCTGTGTCACACACTTGCACATGTAAGCCCTGAATCTAAATTTTTTAAAAGGAAAAGATAATTTTAAAAATGTATTTTAAATGCTTCAACAAACACACAAAACCAAAAACAGATGCTTAACAGAAAGTAACACCTTGTTAAATACTCTGGTGATGACAAGAATTTCACATATTGCTAAGGATACTGAATTAAATAGCATTTAAGGTTTATAAATAGTGATCTTATCTGTAAACCTTATTTTACATTAAATACTTCATAGGGAAATTGTGCTCAGTTGGTAATTCAACTCAATAGTTGTTCTCTGACATGTCTCAGAGGACTATAATAGAAATTTGCTAATGCTTCTTAAATCTTCTATCAGCCAATGCGGTAAGTGTTGTGGTAATTTATATTATATTTTCCAAGGAAATTAGGCAAACAGTATGTTCAAACTATGTATTATTTATTAGTCCTGTTATAAATTTAAGAGTACTACATACTTAGTTCAAGGCAGTAATTAAAAATACAAAAAATAAATGTGAAAAAATGTTTATACTTAAAACTTTAATATTTCAGATGTGAGTGTACATCTGGATGGACTGGACAGAACTGTAGTGAAGAAATAAATGAATGCGACTCTGATCCATGCATGAATGGAGGTCTTTGTCATGAATCTACCATCCCTGGACAATTTGTATGTCTGTGCCCACCCCTTTATACTGGACAATTTTGCCAACAACGCTATAACCCTTGTGAGCTACTTAATAACCCTTGCAGAAACAACTCAACATGCTTGGCTTTGGTAGATGAAAATCAGCATTGCATTTGTAGAGAAGGTAAGAGCTGATATGGATTTTAATTTTTTAAAATAATTACCTAATTAGTTTGTGTTTTTACTGTGCCTATGGGATGATGGCCTCTTAAAATGGGTTGGAAAAGTCCTATGCATATTGTGGCTAGGTGAGTATCTGACTTCAAATCCAGTTATAAAAATATATTAGAGAAATACATTGAATGACTTAATCTAAGAGTTAACCACTTGGAAGAGGAAACAGAGTGAAGCTTTATAGCCTTTTGGCCTTTTTTTTCTTTTCGAAGTTGTCTCTCTTTTAGTAACAGTTTCTCTTTTCTAAATAATCCTGTTCATATCGTCTTCTTGACAATAGCAGTTAGTTAGAGGTGGACATAGGTATAATCAAGGTTAATGAAATGCCTTATTGTACATATTCTTCTGGAGCTATCAAAATATTACTTCTGTCTACTTAGATTAGTTACAATCACATAACTTTGTAACTTTGGTGGCTACATTGTCTCATTAAGAGAAAGCCTATGCAAGAAAGAAAGAGCAATTCAAGGAATACTATTGGAGCTCCTGGATCCAGCCATACCTGAAGCCAAGATATTTGTGGCTTCCTGGGTCACATCAGCCAGTAACTTTCCTGATATTATTCAACTTTCTTGATTGGGGTCTCTTCCTATGCAAGTGAAGAAAGTCTTATTAATGCACATTGGTTTGGGTATGTGTTCACGGTTCATGTGTTGATGGCTACTCACAAGAAATTTCCATCTTCAGTGGAGATGCTTCTGCTCCAAAACACATGGCAGGTTCTCAGAATAACTAGATGTGTTATAAGCATAATATAAAAAAACACATTGCGTTTGGAGATTCACAACTGCAATTTATTTTCTAATATTCACTTGTGGTTTCATGTTTTCTTCCCTCTCACTGGCCCTTAAAGGAGTCTTTTAAAGATAAGGAAATCACTTATTTACTCTTCTGTTCAAAACAGCCAGCTTAGATGACATTGTTAAATAGATACCTTATTCAAAGTTATTTTCATTTATTTTTGCAAATCCTCTAAAACTTTCTTAAGAAACTACTCTTTTTTAAGAATATTGAGGCAAGTCCTTAAATCTGTACATATGACAGAAACTTCTGGTACTTCCGAAGGATTAGAATTAAAAGCTAGAAAGCCATCTGTAATAGTTTTTGCAAAAATGACATTAGATTTATAGAGTACATGAAAGACTGTTTTCAAGAATAAGACAGGAAAAACAATATAGAGAAGAAAAAAATACAAGGGGAGCATTTGATGCCCACAAAAATTCAATAATTATGAAGACCATAATTCAAATAAGTAAATAGGTTTCCTTTTAGCAAACATTGAGAGTGAAACTTGTTAAAAATTATTCAATATCAGTGAAGCTAATTCATTTAGTAGAATAATTCTGCTAAACATTCTAAGTAGAATTTTTTATTTAGCTTACTTACATTTCTGAGAATGTAAGAAATATTATTTCTGGGAATGTAAGTAGGCTAAGTAAAACAATAAAAATTCTCAGAGTATAAATATTAAATAAATTTTCTAGAAGAGGCAATAGTATGTTTATTCACTTTAGATAAATCTCCTTTGTTTTCACCAGAGATAATTTTCTACAAAATTGGCATTGTTTTAAAACCTTAATATTTAAAAAATTCATTTGCTCTTCATAAATGCATTCAATAAACTTATAAAACATAGTGATATATTTTTCCTGTTATGGGGTCAGGGAAAGAAAGTTTAGAAACATTTTAAAACCTTCTAGTCACATATTGAACTAGTAATGATATCTGCTGTCCCCTTGTACATGACAAAGACGTTATGGGGAGAATTTAGCTTTCACTATTATTAAGTAAATAAAATCTTATTTCCCCTTAATGTTTTATTATTGTACTTAAGCCAAATCAGTGCTTTGGAGTGGCAGGTAGACACAATGAATTATGTTTATTCCTTTGTGATTGCAATTCAGTACAAAGAGATATTTGAATTGCACATCTTTTTTTAACTAATTAGCATATATCTATATATTTCTAAACCTAATTGTGGAGTATGTTCCTGTAAATCGTGTCTGACTACTGTAATAATGTGTAATATTGTCTTTAGTAGTTTTAACTTCTATAGCAGATTAAAAACTAAAGGCTGTAACATTGCTTTTAAAAATTACCTCATAAAGGCAAAAGAATTTGACTATGTACCATTTTAGAGGCTTTGCCTGGGTTAATAGCTTTATTTAGAATAGGTTGTATGTCAAAGACAGTATATTACTTTTGAAAGAAAATATTTTATCAAATTTAATTCTCACAAGTACCAGCATTTAAAACTACAAAAAATCCCAAGACTTAACATCCACAGATACTACTTGAAATCTCCAATGGATTCCTTTGCAAGTTGTTGGTGTTTGTCAGTTGACGAAAATAGAACTGGTCATAAGAGTGGAAATTTAAGGCTTGTGGGCTAAGGATTCCGCATATGTAATTCTGAATTTCTTTTCACAGCTTTTAGTCAGTCTCTAGGGTATCTTAGTATATAAATATGAGTATAGATAAAATTTCAGCCAGGGTAACAATGTGACTATATGTTAAACAACTATATTAGAAATGACATTCAAATTCACTCTGAAGGACCAGCAAGTAGAATAACTGATACTTTGGGGTTTATGTCAGACTGCTAGCAGGTAAACTATCTTGGTTAGTGTGATTGAAATATATAATGAAAATAATCTACTCCTTTTTGCAATGTCAGCTACTTAAAAATTATAGGTATAGTTAAGCACCAGAACTATTGTGATCCTGTTTGTGAGGCAAATAAGGGGCAATGCTTCTGTCTTCTGACTAGAACTGAGGTGATTAATTAATTCTGTGAATAGTGAACACTTTACAAGAAAATGAGGAGGCAAAAGAGCATGTGACAATAATAATTCAGTGTGTTTATTTTATATAATCTTATTAGTTTAGAACAATTTCTGTAGGAACAAACAGCGCTTTAATAAATAGAAAAATAACACATAGAAATGCACATTTTATAAGATTTCTGTAAACAAATGGGTTACATTTTTTAACACCACAATAGTGTTAGCTTGAGTTATTTAGTATGTCATAAATTTACACACCTAGAAATTTATTGGAACCAGTTTTTTTTGCCTCTATAAACTGTACTCTGTACACAAATACATGTCTATTTTGTAACTGCATGTTGGTAGTATTCTGGAAATTTAAAAAGTATTCTTTATTAACTGATTCAACAAACTTATATTGATTTCCTATGATGTATCATCTTGAGATAGGTTCTGGAAAAATTAAACATGGTGAAGATATGTCCTCAAGGGATTTAAAGTTTAAGTGAGAGAGACACCAGTTAATTAACCATTGAAGTACAATGCTGTACAAGGCTTTGATAGTGACAAGGGGCAGCCCAATGCCTAGGTAGATAACGGGGGGTAACCAGTGAAACAACACCTCCAAGCCAGTGACAGTTTAAAGTCTGAAAGCCAAGCTACAAGTTAAATTCTCACACCGGATTGAGAACTTGCCTTCCTGTTTGGTAGTGCTTTCCTCTGATTGATTCCCAGCCTTTACCTATTTTTCATATATGTGCCCTTTCCTAATTGGTTTTGTACACTGTTATACCCACCTCTGAGTGTTGTCTTCGCTTTAACTTTTGCATACTCACAAACCAATCAGCAAGCTCTTCCCACCCTGTTTCTATGAAAACCCAGACTCAGTCAGTAGAAGATAAGACCACCTGACTTTGGGGAAGAGACAGCCTGACTTCAGGGAGGACAACCTGCTCTTCCTGTACTCTCTTCAGCTTCCCTCTCCTCTGAGAGCTATTTTCACTAGTCAGTAAAATTCTCCACCTTCATCATCCTTCAGTCATCTGCATGGCCTCATTCTCTTGGACACGGGACAAGAGTTTGGGACCCACTGAGGTGCGGGTACCTAGAAGGGCTGTCCAACTAGGTCTTTGCCCTCCCCAGTGGAGGGCAGCCACCTCATATGAAGAGGTAAGGGGCCAACTGAGCAGCTAACACACCGTTGTCTGTGAACAGTGGAACGAAAGGAGCACTGAACCACCCTCTCTGGGGCTTTGGTGTCATAGGCATGATCACCTGGGTGCCACCATGTTCCTCTCAAGGTGACATGCCTGGTCTGGCTGGGAACCTGAATTGAGCTTGCTGTTGTGTCGGCACCTGGAGGGGCCAGCCAGCTCCTGCACTCACTGGCTCACATGATTCCTCCCCCAAAGGCTTGAGCATAGTGTGTCAAGTAGACAGATGGGGCATCCCTGCTGTGAGTCCAGTGAAGGGGCTCAGAAAAATCCTGCATCACCTTCACATTTGTGCCAGAAATACCCACAGAGTTGCAGAGGTTTGGATACATACACTGCTTTCTCGTTTCTGTTGACAACTTTTAGTTGTGTCTAGCAAATGAAGCCTCAGTTACCCAGAACAATTATGTGCTCATTAAACCACTTCCTAAGCTGCTTTATTTTCCACTCCCTTGCAATGGGATCACCTCTTAAATAAACTACTTGTGAGAAAATCATTATCTCAGTTTTTTTTTTGTTTGTTTTTTTTTTTAAGGAGCCCAAGCTAAGACATGTAGTAAATTCCATCCCCCTGGTAATGATGATTTACCTAAGTCTGGGCATGCATGTGACTGGAATATTGGCATTCAGAGCCCTTCTTTGGAAATCATGCTGAGAGAAGAGACCTTTTCTTTCTGCCAGAGGTTTTCAATTGGCAGAGTCAACTACCATGTTCTCTTCATGTGGAGATAATCTGTATCTAGTAGGGTAGAAGTGTTTGGGGAAGAAGGAATCCTGGCAGAGCTTACAGTTCTCTCTTCAATTTTGTGAGCAACCTGGTATCCCTCCCAGCTGGGTTACCAATAAATCTCACTTCTTAACTAAGTTTGTGTTTTTATTTATATTGTTTATAAACAGTAGAGTAATGGCTAAAACATAGAGTGAAGGCAAAGACTTAATTAAATGGGCAAAGGTTGAATAAAGTGGTT